TCCCGCGGGGGGGGCGCCAGCCTCAGCCTCAGCACGGCCCGGCCCGCGCCTCCTCGCTCGTCTCCGACCCGACCCGGTCCCGGGAGCTGGGCCGAGCGCTGCGTTTCCAGCTCAGTCCGCCCCTCCTCTGCTGTCCAGATGAGGAGGAAGGCGGTTCTTTATTCCGGGTGCCTTTTGCAAAGCGAATCTTTACCCAGTAAAAGGTTGTTAGTAGTGGCTGAGACGTGCCACGGAGCTGGCAGAAAGGTGTAGTTGGTAGTAACAGTACAGGGTAGCATCATGAGCTGGGACCCAGGAATAAGGAACCAACTTCAATCCCATGCAATCTCCCCTTCCTCCCCCCGATAGTCTCTAGCACCAGGAGGCCTCGGAGGCAGATGCAATTGCGAGCCTCACAGTAAACCCCCATTAGGCTCCACCTCCACCTTCAGAGGGCTGCTTGAATGCCCCAAGTGTGATTGATGCTAAATAACTTCCACAATGTTTCTTAGCACTCAGAGTTCTACCTTTTTTGCCTCAGATTCTAATTAATAATCATAATTAATCTAATCACAGATCACAATCCTCATTTTATTAATACATAATCAAAATCTAATCGATAATCACAATTCTTGCTTTTTGTCTCATGATTCTAACTAATAATCATAATTAATTAATCATCATACTAGTGTTTTTGTCTAGATCTTTTATCTCCTTTAGAAACATTCAGCCTTTTATTTTTAAACTTGCTATATCTGCAGTGTCTATGGTATCTCGTGGCAATGGGTTCCACAGTTTTAGCTGCACATTGTATGAAAAAATACTTTCTTTTGGTTTTGAACACTCCACATTTCCTTTTCCTTCAATGCCCCTTGTTCTTATCCTGGGAAAACAGAAGCTCCCCCCCCATTTCCTTTAAGCTATTTGTTATTTTATTACCATTTATCATGTGCCCTGTCCTAGGTAACAAGCCCACTCTTCCAGGGTGACAAATGTAACACACACGCTTGACATTGTGTGTAGTAAGGTTTATGTTGCTGTGTATCTTGTTTGTGCTGTATATTTTGCCTCTAGGACTAAAAGAGAACCACCTCCCCTCCCCCTCGTTGTATCCATCAAGGGACCTGTGGAACCAGTTTGGTGACTCTGGCCACTTCACCCCGAGTGCTGACCACCTTTGCATTCCCTGGTCTGCATTAGCAGTGTTCAAATGATGCTGCTTCTTGTTGAACCAGGTGATGATGTCAGAAAAGTGATTTAAGGGTCAGGTCACTTGGGTTGGGTCTCTTTTTCCTCCTGAGGCTATTGAAGCCGGAAAGCTGAATTGGAAGCCAGAAAAGGCTGTTCCCTATTTGGGGGGGGGGAGAGAGGTCTCCCCTCTGCTCTTCACTGGAGAAGCAAATTGAAGCTCTTCTTTTCCCTTCTATTTTTCTGAGTTTTGAGTGGGATGATTCCATGGTTGGGGTATCAGTCCCTGCAGCAAACTAGCCAAGGTTGGAGCCTGGCAGTTTTGCTGGTGCACTCTGAGCCAGGGCTGAGAGCCTGGCATGTTTTAGTTGCTGTTGCAACTTCTTTTGGTTTCAGCATAACTGTGTTGCTGAACCCCAGCTACGTGTCTTGCTGGTAGCTTTGGCCACACAGGCCTTGAGTGGGATGATGCCATGAGTACATTTTTCCCTAGTGCAGACTGACCAGGAAACAGGGTCCTGGCAGTCACTGGCCCCTGTGTTGGGGATTGTAGTTCTCAGTATGGTGGTATAGCTGAGCAGCCAAAAGCCTGGGCTCTTTTTTGCTGTTTCACAGCTGTTGCATTTCAGCCCACCTATGTGGGGTTGAACCCCAGCCATACATTTGGCTGGCACTTCTTGTTGTTTATCCAGGCCTCAGTGGTATGTAGGCCTGGCCAGCTTTTTGCTGCCCAGTCCAGGTCCAGTGAAATAGGCCTGGGCCTCCTTTTGTCCCTCTTGCAGTTTATGCCCCAACCAAGCGGTGTGGTTGGCCACTAGTTGCCAAGATAGCCTGGCCCCCCTTTTGTTGTTTCATAGCTGTTAGATCTCAGCATAGCAGTGTAGCTGAGACTAAATGTCCAGGCTGCAGCCAAATAGGCCTGGTGCTCTTTTGTTGTATGTTCAGGCCTTGGTGCAGGACAGGCCTGAGCCCCCCTTTTATTGTTTTACAGATGTTGTGTCTCGTCATAGCTGTGTTGCTGAGCACCGCTATACATTTGCTGTATGTCTGGGCCTGGCTTGGGGCCTGGCACATGTTGATTTTGCAGCTCTGTCCCCTAACCTAGTAGCGTGGTTGACACTAGTTGCAGTACAGGCTCTTTTGCTGTTTGGCTGGCTTTTGTTTTAACTTCTTTTGCAGTTTCCTGCACCAGCAAAACTGGGATTAGGACTAGAAACTTGGGGGTGCAATATGCAGATGACAACTGCAGTTAACCCCCTCAAAGCCACCATGTGGAAGTAGAGATCAGCACTACAGCTTCTCAGGGAACAACAGGGGGCCCCTTGCAACACAAAAGGACCTACGCTTTAGCAGCTCCCTGCAGCGCAGTGGATCCATGGAGCAGCTCATAGGACTTTCTGGTATGGGACCCCCCTCTCCAGCCCATTGCTGAAGGACAGGCATAGGGGTGCAGGCCCCCTGAACTACCCTTTGGGGAGTTCCAAGTCCCAGACTGCCTGGGTATGGGGAAAGCCTCTCCAAGAAGGTGCCACCTATAGACTTTGTTTTGTAGTTTATAGTGTTTTAAAATTATAGTTAGTGTTTACTTTTGTTTTTTCTTTATTCTTTGTAATAAATTTGGATTTTGTGTTTACACTACTTGCAAGGGAAGGATTGTTGGTTTTATTGGACACCCTTGTGATTCCTTTAGTGTTTCCTAGGTAGACTGGGTGGGGGCTCGAGCCAAGGTAAAATATATTTAGTACCCCAAAATTGAACCTGGCCCTTGTTGCTACCGACAGGTGCTCAGCAGAAGGGTTGCAGTCTTCAGCACTCCCTATCACAGCCATGATTGCTCTCTGAATACAATATTCTGAATGCAATCTTCTTTACAATATTCTTTGAATACAATAATCTCTGAGTACAATATTCATTTTCAGATGGAATAACCAGTGCTCCATGACTGCAAGTGAAATTGAGAGTCACAACTTGCTGACCCTACGAGTTTCTCTACACAAGTAACTGTGCATTAGTGATACATCTTGAACAGGACCTGCAAATGTTGGTTGCCCACTTTTCAGCATCCACAAAATGCTTTAGGCTCACAATTAGTTTAATGAAGACTGAGGTCATGCATTAGCTGGTACTCCTGGTACTCAGCAAGGGTTAAATGTTGCCCTACTGCATGTGCTTCAGTGGAGAGCAATTTCCTGTGACTCATGAGTTCTGCTACCTGTGCAGTGTGCTGGCAAATCAAATTAGTATCGACAAGGAAGCTGTTTTTTGCAGCCTTTGACAAAGTGACCAACTGACTTCTGTTGGAAGCAACAAGGAGTCAAGGTCTCTGTGAGAGTTAAGGTTTACAAAGCCATTGATCTTACTTTTACTTTACCAGTATGGAACCTGGATATACTTTTGGCAGCTAGAGAAAATCCACTTTGGAAAGGAGAAGGTTGAGGGGGGATATGACAAGGCACCTATAAAATCATGAAGAGTGTGGACAGAGTGAGTAGGGAATTGTTACTCATCATGTCCCAGAATACTAGAACAATGTGAAATAAGTAGGAGACAGGTTTAAAACTAACAGGAAAAAGTACTGTTTATGCAACACAGTTAATTTGTGGAATTTATTGCTGCAGGAGGTGGTAGAGGCTGAGAATGTAGACAGGATGAAGAAGGGATTAGACAAATTCATGGATGATAGCTCTATTCTTAGTTGTTGAACAGAATGGCTGGAGACGTTTCCTTTGGCATCTCTAACCAATAATGGTGGATGTCAGGGAGGGTAATAAATAGGGGATGGGTCACGCTAGACAAAATATGGCCCATGGGCTGGATCTGGCCTGCCAAGGGAGTTTGTTTGGCCCATGGTGGGTCCCTTGGTTCCACCAAACCCTGGCATTTGGGCACATGCCCAAATCATGACATGTGTAGCCAGTCCCACCACCCCTGGACACGTAGCAGGTGGTGTGGTGGTTGGACTCGCTTCCCAGCAGCCCTGGTGATGGTAGCTCCTTTCTGTGGCTGCCACCTCCAGACCTGGCCCCACTGCCTAGGCAGCCCAGTGAGTCTGCCCTGCACCCAGTGCTGGGACCCATGCAGGCAAGTTGCACAGCTGGGTGGATAGAGCTGTGGGCAGGAGGAAGCGGTGTTCTGGAGCAGGATGGGTGGGCAGGGCTGGGATCAAATGGTGGGATTGTGGGGCAGTGACAGCATGGTGCTGGGACAGAGCCGTGATCTGCTCCTCACATGGCCCTGCCACGTGGCCCTGGACTCGGACCCAGACGTAGCTCCTTACCCACCGCCAGCCCCATCCTGTTCACCTGGCAATGCGCCCTGCCCGCAGGAGTCCCAGCTGGTCTCTGTGGCAGAAGGCCACCTCTGTTTTTCCCCAAAAACTCCTCTCTGTGACAATTTGGTTAAGATGGGCCCAGCAGAGGAGACACACCTTTACCCTATCTCTTTAGGTAACCTGAGCTGGATACATTCCTGAGGGAGGGGGGAAACCTGCTCCCTCTGCCTACGTGACTAGTATCACATACCTGGGTGAGGGGCTTCCTCCCTGGTGGGTAGAGACTGCCAGTTTGCCCGGCAACTAGTGATGTATTTCAAATTGGTTGGCTGACAGCCAGCGGGTGCTGGCCTCCATTGGACCAGGTAAATGAGGTCACAAGGGCTATATAAGTTAAGGACTGCCCAGGATGAGGGTGCAGCAGCCATGAGGGAGACTCAGGGACAGAGAAGAGCTGTGCCATCTGAAACTTGTGCTCTCTCTCAACACTCATGATCAAGGAACTGCCTGCCTCCAGAGGGAATCTCCAAATGCCTCTGGATGATACTTGTGAATAAGCTACCTGAGATCTAACTAGATAGTTAGCTTGCAGTAACTCAGATGCGTGATCAAAGGCTACCCAGCCAGGGGAGTTTGCTCTATGGGATTTCTCTGATATTGCTCTACCCTGTACCCTATTCCAACCCTACCCTCTGTAACCAATAAAGTTCTCCTTTGTACCTAGTGTGGGAGACTTATTGGGAGTGGGTCTAGATTATGCCTTGGGGTCCCCTTGGTTCGGCTGACTAAGGGAGACCACTACTTGTGCTTCTGACTGAGGGAAGCATCCCAACTTCTTGAAGTGAATCAAGTACCCTTGAGGGCTACTAGGCCTGTGTTACTTAGGTTGTGCAGAGCCAGAATCAGTCCAGAGCCCTGGGTGGTGGCAGTGGAAACCCCAGGCTAGCGGGTGTGCTCCAGGAAGGGGGTCGGCCAGACGTGAGGCGCCCCCAGGCAGGCACTCGGAGCCTAGAAC